CATGAGTGAGGGAAGCGACACGTGTTACTACAGAAAGATGAACATTTATCTGCCGTTGGAAAAGAGAAAGACCGAGAGACAGAGACAGCAATGGCATTTGGGCCATTTGAGGGCCGAGTGGGGCAACATCACAGCATGGGCTAAATTATTACCAACTAACATTCCATGAGCAATAGCAGCAGCAGAAGAAAATGACATAGGGATTAGGACCAAGGGATTAACTGTGTAAAGTCCAGCTTCACCCAGCTCCTCTTGAATGGCATCCAGCTGGTCACATAATAATCTGGTAAAAATAATTACCATCAGTCAGGAGACTCTGAATGGTCTTGTTTCACTGTGCTCAAAGTGTGAGCCGAGCAGCCAAAGGGAAAGGTGGACAAGAACTCGCCCCCAACTTGGTAGTGTGTTTGTGGTGTGCGGGTGTCATTGCTCCATGGGGGAATGTGGGGTTTAAGCAAGGAACTTCTTGCTTGCAGCAATGTATATTGGAAATGTGAACAACATGAAGACATGATGTCTATGGGAGATTCTCAATCTTCCCGGTCATGGTTATCCCAAAGGTTCTTTTCCAAAATGCAACTGGACTTTCTTGTTTGTTTGTTTTTTTCTTTGAAAACATTTTGCTTCTCCTCCAAGAAGCTTCTTGGATCAAAACTGAAGAAGCTTCTTGGATGAGAAATGAAATATTTTCAGAGAATAAAACTAAGGAAGTCCAGTTGCCTTTTGGAAAAACACCTTTGGGACAACGCGAGGAGATATTTTATCATGCTTGGTGAACTTGTAAAAGAGCTAAAATTTTTGAATTCAAACACATACATTGATACAGAGGATCTTAAAGATCAATATTCAATTGAAGCCAGAATTTTTCCTTTTAGGATTAATAGATAAACAGTTAGGAAAAAAAAACATGGAAAATTGTTTCAGTATATGACCACAGCAGTGAGATTACTCTATGCACAGAAATGGAAAGGTTCAACGCTACCCACTATGGAGGATTGATTGGTGAAATTGACGGATTTTGAAGAAATGGATAAATTGACTTCTTGGATTAGAGAAAATACATTATTTATATTTAAATGCTGATTAGAAGCTTCTTAGGGATCTTTTGCGTAAAAATGAAAAAAACTATGGTTTTGAGGATAAGACAGGATAGATTATAGAAAGAAGAATATCACGACAACTTTAGAGATAGATATTAAAATTAATTACTGGGAAGAATATTAGAAGCCATCTCTTCATATCTTTTTTCTTTCTTTTCTAATTTCCTTCAACTTTTTTCTTTTTGTGCATTTTTTGCTTTTTTCTTGATTTCCTTCATTTTCTTTCTTTCTCCTTACTCTATATTAGCTTGCATTGGTTTTTATCTTGTTTAAAAGTTTTAATAAAAATTATATACACAGAACAGTATCCCGCTGATCATATAATAATCTGGTACAAAATTGGGAATTGTTCAGTTAGGGGATAGCACTTCAGTTAAGTTGTGCCAAGCCACACTTGGATGGGAGACCACTGGATATTCCAGGGCTGTAGGCCATATTGGGAAGCCAGCCAGAAGAAGGATGCCCCCTGGTATGGTTCCTAAGAAAATAACAAAGATGTGTCCATGGATTCACAAAGAAACAGGCTTGCCTTGAAGGAATCTTTTCCTGTTTGGATACAGGAATTATCTCAGCAAGATGCAGTTCTGAACTGACAGCTAAGCAGGAGTGTTTGCATGGGGAGATTGCCTAGCATTCAAGAGAAGTTAGGCAGAATTTGAAGCACACACACACAGAGAGAGAGAGAGAGAGAGAGAGAGAAAATCTGGAAGAAGACAATGGCAAATAGAGGTAATCTTTGACTTACAACCATGCATTTAGTGACCGTTCAGCAGTTATAACAGCATTGAAAAAAGTGACTCATGACGAGTGTCCACACACAGCATCGCTACAGCCACATGATCAAAATTCTGATACTTGGTAAGTAGCATGTATTTTCAGCAGAGATAGCATTCTGGGCTCATGTGATTGGAACCTGCAGCCTTCCCAGCTGGTTTCTGACAAGCAAAGTCAATGGGGGAAGCCAGATCACTTAACGACAGCATTATTCACTTAATAACTGCAGTGATGTGTGGTGAAAAAGGTCAAAAACCAGGTACAACTCACTTAAAAAATGGCCTTGCTTAGCAATGGAAATTCTGGTCCCAGCTGCAGTTGTGAGTTGAAGACTACTGGTCCTTCTCTAACCCCGCAAAGAATACTGCATAAATACAGCCACAGGAGTCCAGTTTGATCTGAGGATCTCTTTCCTTAACATATGGTAGCACTGAGCTCAGAGTTTGCCTGATTTCATAAAACTAAGCAGGGTATGAGGCACCACTAGGAAATCTCAGCATTGTACATTAGACAGAGAAGAAGAAGAAAAAAAAGCCAAGCCACTTCTATATTGCCACCATGGATATAGAATATTGGTGCTTCTTCTTCTGCCTTCCTGACATCTCCTTTTCCTTTCCTTATTATATTTTGATAAGCCTGCAGGTGAGGGGGGGGGTGTCTTTTGTTTTGATTGATAGCACGAATAAGGTGGGGTTTCTTTTTGTCTGAATAATAAGTTTAACAAGCTTTAAAAAATAAATAAATCCCAGAGTTCAATCTGAAAAGGGAGAAAATGTTAAACTAGGCTTAGCCCACGGGGGAAAGAAAGCTAAGAAATACTTGATTTAAAATATAAAAGTCACTTTAGAGCTAAATACTCTCAAGAGGGAGAATGGGGGAAAAAGCAGGTATGAGGGATAGTTTAAAAAAGGCTTTCCAGCTAGGCACCCTCCCATTGACATGAGACTATCACCCATCATGGCCCAACATCATACTCTTGGAGCTCACAAATTAAAGAAACTACTGTTTGTCTGTCTGTCTGTCTGTCTGTCTGTCTCTACCTCTCTACCTCTCTATCTATCTATCTATCTATCTATCTATCTATCTATCTATCTATCTATCTATCTATCTATCTATCTATCTATCTATCTATCTATCTATCTCTGGAGTAATAAGGTGGCCACAGCAATTTGTGAATTTATTTAAAAATGTGATTTTTTTTTAAAAGGTGTTTTGAGGTGAAAGATCTCTGTTCAAACCACGCGGCTACAAAGCTCAACAAGTAAACCTTGGAAAAGTGGCCTTTTCCTATACCTATTTATCTCACATGAAGTTATTGTGCTCCTGAATGGACCACTCCCTTTCCAAAGAGTATGGCTGAATAGCACTGTGTCAACTCTGAATGTGGAGAGTATCAAGGCAGAAAAAGATTAATCCCGCCCCGTTACTATCCTATGACTATAACGTCAGGTGTAATGTATTAGGTCAGCACCTAATTAATAAATGCACTACAACTTGCAGAGCCCCAAGCATTTCTATTTATCTTTTTCCTCACTTGAATTGGAGTCCAGTCTAAAATTAAACTATTCCTGAGCTGAAATATTGACCAAGTCCTTTCCACCTCCTTGAGATGATGGAAGCTTTATTCACAAAAAATGTGCTGTCCCCATTGTTAGTTCCTATGCTGCGCCCTTTGTCTTCGTTTCAAGTTACTGTCAATCACCTGACTTCCCACCAAAGTAATAGGCTACCAGATCTAACAGATTCATTCAGTTTTGGGCTGCTGTTAGGACAATATCAGACTGTGGGTTGGGACAAGGCGAAGATAACGTCATGTGCACCTGGCAGAAAATAGACGCTGCTAAGGACATGTTTTGTTCCATGGTTAAATAGAAGTGATGAGAGGCTCCATGTCACCAAAGAGGATCTTCTTCATTTGCGTCTTTTGTGCAATCACACAGGGCCAACAAGTTTCTTACTGTCACCAGCAGAGGGCACTCCAACACAGCCAAATAAATCAAACAAGTGATCTCCAACTGGTGACTTTCAAACGTGTTGGACTACAAGTTCCATCACCTCACTTAGCCCAATTAGTGTGTTGGCCAGGTTGATGGGAACCATACTCCAGCACTTCTGGACAGTGTTTGGTTGACTAGACTTATCACACCTCAAATCTCAAACCCTGACCAAATGTCCCTTTTTCCTCCAGAGATATGAGCATGGAATCGCTAATATTCTTATGCAATCAAACCTCTCTATGCGACAGCAAATTCTAGCTATGTCTTCTTGGTTCTAATGCTGTAGTGATTCAGAAGCACTCACGGACTGATTATAAGCGGCTGTCAACATGTATGGGGTTGAAGACATCAGAGAAGCTCTGCAGCCAATCTCCAAAAACCTGCATATGCTGAGCTTGCTTCCAGCTTTCCAACATTTACCCAACTATTTTTGTCCACTGGCTATTCATTCTTTCCTGGTGTGGCAAGCAAGATTGCATCCTCCACCAGGGTCTGAAGAGCCAATAAGCTCTACTAAATGAGGCTGGAGAACCTCTTCAGATATTTCTAAATGCCAATTTCACACAGACCTAACTAGCTCACCCAATAGGGAAGGATGATATGAGTTGTAATGCAAATTTTGAGGGTTATTCATAGCCCATCTCTGATCTAAGTGGGAAAAATCTCAACCTTCTAGAGAAGAGAGGATAATCTGTGCTAGAATGCAGGTACAATACTCTCATAAAGCAGTTGCTGTCCTGGTAAAATGGGTGAAGCATCCATGGGTCAGCTGACAGGGGCATGTAACGAAGCATCTAAATGAGGGCTCATCTAGATGGGTAGGAAGCAGACTGTAATTTCTATGATTCCTTGCAAGTACAACTAGAGGCACCAACTTAAGAAAGGCAAATGAATCAGGAACCAACACTCAAGAGCAGAGATGATTGCGTTAAGAATTCCGGGGCTAAGGAAGCTCTTTGAACACCAACCCGCCCCCAGATGACAGACTCTGGGTGCCTCACCTAGCATTCCCAGGGGCCAGGTATCCAGATCACCTGGTGGGGACAGAGGAAGAGAAGGAGAAGAGGAGTTATACAAACAGTCCTACCCGAGCCTGCACCTCCTGGGACGGAAGCAGCCACGGCCTTACCGTGTTGAAACCTGGAAAAAGACCCACGGCTGGCTGCGCCTCCATGGGGAACGAGAGGAAGGGCTTGAGATCCAGAGGTGGCTGCATCATGGCCGGCGGCGGACGCAGGATTGCAGGAATTGGGCCTGCCCGGCTTAGGCTGCCTAGGCAAGGAGAGACAAGGAGAAACATAAGCAGGTTGTCCTCCAACAGAAGGGTTTGGAAGGCAGGTGAGGTGCAAAGAACAAAGAGATCAGCATTTGGGGTTGAACACGAATTCAAGTTGTTATCAGCTGCAACATGATGGAATAATTGCCTACAGTAATAAACATTTCAAATTGACCCCTGCAAACTCCCTCCCAGGTCCTCAAAATTTCAGATCTGCAGTTAGCAAACCACGTTCTGAAATCTGAATTCAATATTATGATCAATTCGGGGAGTTGGTTTGTCCATTGTTCCCTGCGCACAACCGCACAGCTTGTTTTAATTATTTGGCTAATTTATATTAGATGCTTGTTTAAATTATCAAACTGAACTTAGTGGCATTTAACTGAATAAATGCGATAGGTTTTGAAGTCACTAGTTTTTAAACGGCACTGTGTTAATTTAATTAACTGCATAGGATTTAAATGTCTTCCTGGTCCCTATGATCACAGTGGGCAAAGATGGAACTGGCACAGAAAGGCCAGTGCGTCTGAATAGCAGCGAAAATTTTCAGTCCATGCATATGGAGCACCCAGTTGGGGAAAGCAAGTGGGTTTGCTACTTCTCTTCTTTCGTCTCAGTGCACAGAAAAGATAGTCCATTTAATTTCACAAAAACTTCAATGAAGCTTTACTCTAAAGACAGCAACTGATTTGACTGGGTTTTAGGGTTCAACGAGGATCAGAATTCTATTTCTGAATACAAACTGCATGTGGTCAAGCTCAAAGATCAACCATCACCACTGTTACCACCACCTTAGTTATTATATATGTGATGTCAACACTGCTAACATTGAATGTTTTTGCTTTGACAACAGTTGGAGACGTAGCCATTTTCTACTTTTCGCTTTTAGAGTTAGATGATGCTGGGGAGGGGAGGGGGAATGTGCATGAGAGTCCAGCTAGACATAATAATACTGAACCTAGCGTGAGAACCAAGGTTGTAGAAATAAGAGATGATAAAGAATTGGCGGGCTGGAGAACCGGTGGGGAAACCCGCCCTTCAAACTAATTGGGGAATGTGATTTATGACTGTTAATTGGAGGAGGGAATTGGGCTCAGGGGAGGGGAATTCAGTTTTTGGCTTCGATTATGTTAGTGCCGATGTTATACTACTCAAATAAAGATTCTTTAAGGTAAACAATGCCTCGAAGTTCTTTGAAGAGTTCCATTTGTCGGAACCATGACATGTAAGCCAAAAGGCGAAACAGTGAGAATATAAGAGGTATTAAGAAAATGTACATACATCAGTGAGCAAATCCCACAGGAAAGAAGTAACTGTACATACGCATAAATGCCAACCTACTGGGAGAAGAATAAACATGAGGATGGCACCCTCAGGCTTCCAGATATGCATTGTGTGCCTTAATCATGCCTGGGTTTCTGAGCAAAGCCCTTATCATATCAGTGTGTGACTGATGAGGCTCTATGCAGACATCGCTTAAAACTAGTCTTGTGATTCTGATTTTGTGGGTGCCTGCTTTGATCCCAGCAACCAAACTTGCCTGAAAGTTGCGTCACCAAACCCTTAGCACTACATAGGTAAGTCAGCTTTGGAGAAAGCTGCCTATTGAACATAATAATAGAACAGAACTTCATTTAGTCATTTGACTATATCAAAAAGATTAAACTAATATAAATATAGAAGTAGATATAAAGAAAACAATGGGACAGGTTTTCATAGTTAAGTCGTCACCCCTACAGTTAACCCCAATCTGGTCTAAGTATTCCTTCCTCTTTGAAATGGCCTTTGATAAAAAGAATGCAGTCTTACCAGTGATATGCAGGTTTGTTCCCTGCAAAAAAAAAAATAGTTTCTCCTAAACGCCCCAGTATTTTGAGTCTAGGACAACTCATCATAACTAAGTTGCCACAGCCAACTCGCCACGGCCAACCCACCATGGGATAACTTGCCGTGGGACAAGGTGGAATAGAATCATTAAAGAAAGGATGCCAAGGGAGGGACAGAATGAAATGTGAATGACATTATATGATGAATGACAAATAATTACAGTACATTGAATTGTTGAATTGTCCTGTGGAGAGTTGTCCTGCGGTGAATTGGCTGAGGCTCATTGGCCATGGTAAATTGACTGTGGCGAGATGGCCACGGTAAGTTGGCTGAGGAGAGTTGTCCCATTCCACAGTATTTTTTTAGTTTTTAAATAAGCAGCCCCTTCTGCAGAGTACAATTTGCACTCAAAAAGAGTATGTCCATACGTCTTCAATGGTTGGTGCTCTACAAGCGCAGTTTTTCTTCAATCAAAACTGCCAAAAGCAGAAAAGGAGTGAAATGTTCTTCTGTCAAGAAAAAAGTAGGGTAGCCATAGATCTCCATCGCAGCATTTTATGCCAGCAAAAAGGCCTATTTCCTATAGCACATGGCGGGCCCCTCATTTCATTTGTGGAACCCGGGAGAATTCAGTATAATGTGCAGTAGCTGTGGGTGGTGTTTTCAAGCTACTACTGAAAAAGGGTATATTTTCTCTTACAACTTTCAACTTACAAAAAACCCCCAAATCTTCAAATAGTTAAAAAGGTTAAGTATTTGGGAATCTATCTAACAGCAAGATGTACAACAGTAAAAGAAGACAATTATATAAGATTGCTAAAACAAATAAAATTGGACTTAGAAAAGTGGGAAAACCTTCAACTGTCAATGCTGGGGAGAATAGCTACAGTGAAAATGAACATTCTGCCTAAGTAACTATTTTTTGATGGCTCCCAAGGAAAACACTGCAAAAACATGGTGGTGAGCCCGGTGTGCCCTTTCTCCCATTCTCCACAGCAAAATGGGGAAAGCAGGTTCATCTAAGAAGTGAAACTGACAAGGATGTTAAACTGAAGAATGGAGAGGAAGAACTTTTCAGCTCCTTAAAAAGCCAATTACTAGCTCTTAATGGTTGCCATTATATACTTGACAGTATTAGGAGTATACTATATATATTTATTCAAAAGCAAGTCTCTCTTATTATAATGGTTTTCAATGTAGGAGTAAATGTGGGAAGCAGACATCTGGTTTGCTTGTAATAAGGAACTAGTCCTTAATGCCTGCCCTGATCTTTTTCTCTCAGATGATCAGACAATTAAAATAAACTTAATTATGCAGGGTAGGATAGAGGTATTTCCATGGGTTAATTTATTCAGCTGCAGAATTTAGTCTTTCTGGAGTTAGGATTTGGATTGCCAAGTTTGTAATTAGTGTCCACAAAACTGTAAGAAATATTGATGCACAAAGTAGTTAAAACTGAAGCAAAGTGGCAGAAAGGCTGAAAATACCAAAGATTCAAGTGTTTTGTTCACATCAGCTGAACAAAATATGCAGGTAAACACTTGCTATCGTCATGATGTTGATGTGGACAATGTGGTTTTTAGTGTGCATGCAAGGACCCACCTCTATCTCTTCCATAAAAAGTTTGTTGAATAGCAAAGTGGTAAGAAAAAAAAGAGGGCAGGATACTGAAAAACAAAAGAAAGGTGGAGTGAAGGGGGGGGGGGAGGCCTCCGAGTGCCAGAAAGAAACATCTTTATTGTGTACAGTAAAAGCATTTCAGAGAATTCCTTTGTCAAAGACACTGTGCTTAACCCACTAAAATATTTTGACTGAAGAATGCTGGCTAAACATCACACAGTTACAGCAGCGTTGAACTGTGAACTCTTCTTTTGCGAATCTCACAAAGAAGGGATCTTGCAGAGGCTGTTACAGAGACACATTTATTTACATGAATAAAATATATCAATGACAAGCCAGGCAGTGTTATCGATTAAAAGGATAACTTTTGTTGGTTGGTTGATATATCACATACATGTTAGCGCCATCGCCAACATTGTGTAGTTGGCAAAGAGAAGTCATATTCTTCAGCAGTGTTTCCCAACTTTACAACTTTAAGATAGGTGGACTTCAACTCCTAGAATTCCCCAGACAACCAATTCTGGGAGTTAAAGTCCACCTATCTTAAAGTTACCAAGATTAGGAAACTGCTTTTTGAGGCTCTTGACTACACTGAATCTCTCCTTCCAAGCACTGTCACTCTTCAATCACTCTCAGTCCATTGCTTTCTCTTTCCTCAGTCTCTGCTGCCTTCTGAGAATTGGCCCCTTTCCTTCTCTTCCTCCCCTGCCTCCCCTGCTATTCATTAGATGAAATTGCTACAAGTCGCTACAGGTGTGAGATAGAGCTACCTCTATTACTGGGGAGAGCAAGGTGGCAGCCTCAGAGGAGCCATGGAAACACAGAAAATCGTTATTGTTGCTGCTGCTGTTGATGATGGTGACGATGTCTTTGCTATCAGAAAAGGGGACTGCTGTTTGTGAGATCATTCTGGCCGAGATGCCAAAATAATGTACTCTGAGCAGAGTAGGTGATGCTTTTGCTCTCCACCTCACAAAGCAAAATAATTTAGCTGCCCCTGATTAAGGAGCATTAAAGGAAAAAAAAGCAGAACCACATGCCATTTTGTGCTTTTCTACTGCTGCCAAGATATTGTAGCAGACTCACTAATTTTAGGCACAAAGTTCTAGAAACAGAGCAAGAACACTGAACGGTATGGATTGCCTGATTCAATAGTTGCTATGCTGAATCAGTTGGAAAGCTGGATCCATTCAAAATCTACAGAAAAGATAACAAAGTTCTTCAGCACTTCCCCATCCCTATTTAAAGTTAGCCATAAGCTGATAGTTCTTGTCGAGCCCTGCGAGGCCGACTGGTCCGAGAGGTGGGGGATGCCGCCAGCTACTCCCGCCGCCCTCCGTCAACCCCCCCCCATGTGGATTATGCTGGAGTAACACCGCCCCCACCGCTACGCCCACACCGGTTTCAACAGGCTGCTATGAAACACCGGGAACAATGAATATTGGGAAAGTTAGCTATTTCATTATATCTCTGCTGGTCTTCTCCTGTGATCATGTAGACTTTTGTAA